GTTGCGTTGCTGTCTGGGGAGGGTCAGAGAGCTCTCGGATTTCATCAAAAATATCTTACTTTGTGTTCCGAAGATGAACGAAGGTCTTACGGGTTTGGAGCGATGACGACAGACACTGAAGACTCACCCTCTTCTCGTAAGGAGCGCAGCTCGATCCTCATCTTCTGCAGCGCCTCCTCCAGCTCTGAGCAGTGCACTCGCTCCTTCTCCAGCGCTGCTTTCATGTCGCCGTACTGCAGGGGAACGGCGGATTGAGACGAGACCGCGGCGGCGCTGTTAGCCGTGACGCCCACCTCCTCACGCCGCCGCCCGAAAATACCCTAAAACACACACAGATCACATGACACACAGCCGCTGATCATCATCTTCACATTGTGACTGATCACCAATACTATCAATCTGTACTGTTTTTTCTGCTAGCTATATCTTTTTAATGTTTAACGTTAATTGTTTTTATTTTAAAACTACTTTTTATTTCAAATAAAATGTATCATCTTTTTTTAGTAAGTGTTTCACTTTGATTGTTTTTATTTTAAAATAATTTATTTCCCGTTTGTTTCTTTTTAACACCATGCCAGTTTCTTCTATTTTCACGGCAAAACCAGGTTTAAGTTATTAAAAATTAGAATAGGATTAAATAAGATATTTAAGGTCTTTTTTCTAAAAATCAGAAAACTAAAAATAGAAGTAACGTGCGTGCGTGTGAGTGTGTGAGTGAGTGTGCGTGTGTGAGTGAGTGAGTGAGTGAGTGTGCGTGTGCGTGTGCGTGTGTGTGTGTGTATGTGAGTGTGTGAATGTGTGAGTGTGTGTATGCGTGTGTGTGTTTGTGCTTAATGGATAAGGATTGTTAGAAATCTCAGACAGTACAGTAATTTCTGGCAAAAGATGAGTGTAACTTGAGTGCAAAAAAAAATTTTCATTACTGGTCAAAAAGATTGGATTTATATATAGATATATATATTTTTATAGATAGCTAGATAGCTAGATAGATAGATAGATAGATAGATAGATATATATGGGGGGAAGTCGTGGCCTAATGGTTAGAGAGTCGGACTCGTAACCCAAAGGGTGCGGGTTCGAGTCTCGTACCGGCAGGGATTGTAGGTGGGGGGAGTGAATGAACAGCGCTCTCTCCCACCCACAATACCACGACTGAGATGCCC